GTGGCTGAGGAAGAGCTGCAAGTGCAAAAAACCGATATTAGAACATAAAAGGAACAAAGTAATAAAGACTTGAAAACCAGTAAAGTAACACTTGGTTCTTACCATTACCCTCCTTAAAGACTAATCGGCTCAAGGGGTAGAGGTGGAGGTCATCATCTGGTGAGAACTTCTAGTTACCCAAGACGATGAAATAATCGTCTCCAACACCTTTGTTGGAGTCTGGGAGGTTGGCAATAAGTTTGTACTCGGTCAACCTTGGCTTGATGTAATAGATGTAGCCTTTTTCTGATTTAAGGCCACATACGGTATAGTAGTACTGGATGTTGGCTAGTGTTATCCTAGCGTTTTCTCGGCTAGCTAGGGAAATTATATTGTTAATGACTCTGTAGGAGTTAATGGCTAGCTGCATTGGGTTAAGTTTGTAATAGTGAAGGACTTGGCAAAAAAGGATATCGAGAGGGAATCTAAGTCCGCACTCGATGAAAGCAACTCCTGGAAAGGGCATGAGGTTGTTATTGGGCATAATGGAGTCCTCCTCCCCAGCCAACCTGAGTTGGACATCGGCATGAATGGAGAACTCCCTCCTAAAATACTCAAGCTTCTCTGGGATGTCCACCCTCCACCTAAACATACCCATGATGTCGGCAAGAGGGGTAAGGTGAGAGAATTCAACAGAAAGAGGTTTGAGTGGATTTTAAGAACCTCGGCTAAACCCAAAACAAAAACTAGGGCAAGGGTTTTTCAAGATCAATGGGAGTTTGTTTCAAGTTTCCTAAAAAAGTGATTTCTATACCAAGACCCAAGCCTAAATCTATGTAGAATCAGAAAATTGAAGGCAAGAATCTAGAAAATGCAACAAGGAAATAGAACAAAGAGTGTGATTCAGACTCACGAAAAAGACAAAAATTCACGAACATTGTACGAAGTGTGTGCAGATGTACAAAGCCAAGTACAGTGGCAAAATAAACAAGTGTGTGAGTGGTGTGTGTATATGTATACCCAGAAAGAGATTGGGCAGAAGCAAAATCATGAAACAAACATGCTCGATACGCGAATAATGGAATTCAACACATAAGCAAATATTCAAGAACAGGTTCGCAATGGCCACAATTGAATACAATAAAATTTTGAAATAAATTGAAGACTGAAAAAGGGAAAGAACAGAGACTCATCGAAGAAGATGGCGCTAATATGAAACTCACCGAAGTCAGACGGCTCGAGTAGTCAAAGCCAGATGATGAAATGCTCGCGGTTGGAGCAAGTTACAGAAGCTTCAAAGTACGAAAATGGAGGATTTGAGAGAGAGGTTTTTTAGAAAGAGGAAGCTTGAGAGAAATCAGAAAACGCGAAGTGAAAAGACGAAGAGAGAGGGAAGTGTTTTTGTAAAAACATGAAAAGACGACAAAATTACATTGAATACGTTTTGGATGACCTGTCTGTCAGGCGGCGCGCACAGAAGTGACGCAACTTGATGGCGTGTGTTAGGTACAGTTCAATAAGAAATAGACGCGTGGCAGAAACGGTTGAGAAATCGTGCGTGACATCTCATGCACAGATAGAACTCTTGGAGTTCTTAATTTAATGAAGCAAGAGCCTCGGGTAGAGGGACAATCCCGGTTAAAGAACATTAAAAACTTGGTTCTTGGTTTTTGGGCATTGGTAAAACAGACTACAAGTCTTATGGAGCCGACGTATTATGACCTCGATAATGAAGATAGCGTTAAGTCTTAGCCGACATGCTATATGGACAAACGATTTAGGTTCCATCACCTGAGGATGCCGAGGTAATAGAACCTAGAGGGCAGTTGTAGGGACATATTTTTGTCGATGACAACACGTGGCCAAGGTGGCACTGAAGTGCTAGCTGTGGTGCCACGTGTCTAGGTCATGGCACCGAGGTGATCTTTGCTAGGCCAAGGTTATCTGCGAAGATACCAAAATCTGAGATGAATGGATAAACTAAAAGATTCCTATAATGGGGGAGGACCTCAGCCTGGATAAACATAAAGCTCTTAGGGAGTTTATCTTTATCCAATGGAGAGTCTAGGATGAGCATTAAGTTAGAGTTCAAGAGAAGCTAGGCTTCTACAAAGATCAGGTTAATGTTGGCTATAAAAGTAGGGCACCCTCGTGGGTCTAAGGTACGCTTTTTGAATCCTGGTTAATGAGTTAAGCACTGTTTGCTATCTTTGAGAGATAATTGAGTACTAACTTGATCATCGGGTGGCCCCCGAGTTGCCCCCGGGTGGATGAACCACCGCCGAAGTCTTATCTTTCTGTGACAGGTTGTTTGGGCGTAATCTATTCTGCCGGTGTTCTCCAGCTGAGTACTTGTTTGGCAGTGTGATCAGAAATCAACACCCACAATTTGGTGCAGTCTGTGGGAAAGAAAGGAGGATAGATGGCCATCAAAAGGAAGCTATCTGCAATGAACATGCGCAAAGCTAATACATAAAAAAATAAAAGCAGGACAATTGGTCATCCTAAAAGAGTGAAGCTGACCTCAATAACTCAGGCCTGCATAGGATATTTAACATGACCTTTAAGCATTGAATCAACTATGTTATTCTACAATGTAGCCTCATTAGACAGAGACCTTTATTATGTACAAGTTTTTCAAAAACCAGGCAGCACTGCAACAATAATGTCCTACAAAACAAAGCTATAATAACAAAATTGCTACTCAAGTGGACAATTTTATGGGATAATACATGAGCAATAATCTGAGTGGAGGAATGAGACCTATGTTAACAAAAATCTTCATATTCATCAAGTTACGGACACGTGGGTCATGGAAAACTAGAATTCCCTCCAAGATAATTACATCAAATGCATTTACCTGACAAAGAACGTTGAATTGTAATTCAACGAAGTTGAAGGAAAATTCATAAATCATCAAAACAACATTGTCAATATCAAAAACACAACATTCTCTCTCCCTCTCCCTCTTTGAGACACTCGAGGCAGATCAAATATTCTTGATGCAAACAATAATTACACTGTTCCTCTTGTAGATGATAGAGATGACTCCTATTTCAGACCAAGAGCTTCTCCTAACATGGAAACAATTTTCAAACTCAGGCCTTTGAAAGTGATCTGAAGTTTTGGCTGTTGATAACATGCATTTTTCTTTATGTGGTGTGATATTGAATAGGCATTAACCAAATTCTGACATTGAAAGAGTTTGTTTTATTTCTCTTTTACTGTCATGAAATAGCTTTCACTTGGAGACAACGAGATTAGATTCAAAAGTGGACTCAACGTGCTCCACTCACATAAAGACAAGAATTACCAATTTAATCTTTTTCTGTAAAATAAATAATGACGCAAGCATTAACAGTTTCTTCGTCTCCCAAAATGCAATGAAATGCAAAATCAGCATCAGAAGTTGTCCATAAATAGGTGAAACCTGTGGCTAGTTGCTTTGCTTAGGATGCCCACATAGTGGCCATGCTAGCTGACTGCAATGAAATGCAAAATCAGTCTCAGAAGTTGGCCATGCTAGTTGTCCACTGTAAATTGAGGTATGCCATCTATTCTTAGGCTAGGACTTGTTTCCTTTTTTAATAGGTAAGGAAAAACTATGAGTCTGTAAGTTGTCAGTAAAATAAATAAAAAAAGCAATCCCAATTATGGGTGGAAAAAGATTAATTTACTAGCAAACAGGTGTGTGGAGCCAACTAACATTGTTGATGCAAGGCATGGGCATGGCCATGTCTGGTCAAATCTTAGTTAAAGCAGAATACAAATGGATAGAAACAAAGAGGAGAAGCCTGGAGCCTAACCAATAATTTTTTCACAACTTATTTCTACTTCATTCAGCCTAAGGAGTTTGTTATTTAAAGAAAACTCTGTATTTCGCAAGCCCTCTCGTGGGCATTGAAAGTATCTGCCGCAAATGTTGAGAACTGTGAGAAAATTTGATCCACTCCTCTCCTAAGGACATTTATAAGCTAAATTTAGAAATAGATTCTTGCCCACACCCCTTAACAAACGTAATTAATAATACCCAGCCCAACCCAGCCTAACGCCCTCTTTTCCCACATCAGAATTGTTAAGAAGCTTGGTGTTTCACCTGTGAAGTTAATGTGGTAAGATAATATTAATGCAGGTGAAATTTATTCGAGAAAGGTCAAAACAATTATTGAATTTGCAATGACTTAATAAGTCTTCATGGCTCAGAGACATTCTATGGACCTTGACCATAGCATGTAATAAGAAAGGACATGCATAGCTAAAATTAGGATATTAAAATGAATAATTAGCAATAACATAAAACATAGAAGTTGATTCATTCTTGACAAGTTCAAGGTCACAGCAATTCTTAACAAAATTATATAAAGGAGCTGAGAAGCTTTTATCAAGTGTGATACATACCGACTACCACATTAATAGTACATACAAAATGCTTCATAGAATATTACCTGCCTGTGATGGTTTTTAAAATCATATATTGGGACCTGGACAGATTCGCCACTTTTGAGTTTCTCAATGCACTCTACAAGCTGTTCGGAGTCAAAAACATCTACACACAAGCAAACATATATTTGAGATTTTCACAAAAGCTCCTATGCATTCTACTAAATTCTAGTTGTACCATATAGTCAGCAAAGCAGAGAAAAAAACACCAACAAAGTTTACGTACAAATTAAAAACCTATAGCAATACTTAATTATAAATTTTATTACCAGGATGATCAAAGTTATATTCATGTAGTCGTTGTGCTTCTTCAGTTGTCAAGCTACAATAAAATGAATCCTACATATAAGCCACACCAAACATATATCAGAAAATTTGAAAGAGAAATTTTCTTTCATAAAAGAGTGAGTAATCCAAGCTAATCAACCAGGTGTTTTTCAAAATTCTTACTGCATTCCATATTGTAGCCATAGAATCCTTAACAACAAAAGTTGAAAAATATACATACCACACATGACATTTAACTCTTTGGTAAAAAAATCCCAACCATATACTGCCAGGTATTACTCACACTTACGATCATGACCATAATACCAGAAGGCCGTAGTAAAACACTCAATAAAGTGAGCTGGGTTTTTACTAGGGTCAAATATCATTCAATGAAATAATAAACTAAAAGAAAGAAAATTACAGGAAAAATGAAATTTAGATAAGAAACCAAGAGAAATAAAGTGTGCCGAACACAATAATTGGTCAAAATTATCAAAAAGTTCATTACATTCACCACCGCAGTAGTACATTACATTGAGCATCAAATTTTAAGTAAGAATTACGTATATCAACTTACAAGAACCTATCAATGAGAGCATCACAGAAAATATAATCATAACTAACTAACTTGACATTCCAACATAACAAAAAAATCATTACAGATCAAAGTATTTCAAAAAAAAAATTGTATTACCACACTTAAGAGAGGTAGAGAAAGAGGGAAACTCTACCCATGTGAAATGAGACTATTAGCTACAAAGTAGGGATATAATTTTTAATACAATGTGTTTGTTAATTTTATAATATTTATACAATTAGACAATTTTCTCCCATGATTCTTTTTTTTATTTTATTTTATATTATGAACCAACATGTATTTTCTCTGTACAATCACTCAAGAAACTCTGAAATTGTGTTTGGATAGAATTTGTAAAAATAATAATAATAATAATAATAAAAAGAATGGAAAAGTGAACAAAACAGGCTTTTATTTCATGCACAAATCTATTTAATTTTTTTATATATATAAATTCAAAATTCTATGAAAATTGTTTTTGTACAAATCTAAAATTCAATAGTCAAACTGATTTTATTCGAATAGTTTCTTTGGCTCCAAGCAATTTGGGTGGATATAGAATGCTCATTTGTGCATAATCAACATCAATGAGTATAATATGAATTCTAAAGTATCAAAATATTTTGATGGAGATATGAAGTTGTTTGGTAATTTTTAATTTTTAAAGGAATTTCTAACAAGATAGGATTGTAAAGTAGTTAATAGATATTTTTAAGCTAATAATTTTAATATTATTTTAAATTTTGGCCAAAAGTCATGATTAAATTTTAACAAATAATTCAATTAGATTTTTTGAATTACTTAAAAAAGCCCAAGTGTATTAGATTTCTAGTAATAGTATAAATCCGGTATTAGATCTATTTTTAGTGTGTAATGTGACTTCAAACCAATAGATGTATTTTTTAAATTATTTGGGGCATATAGATAAAGGAGCAAATGAACTAAATAATAGATTTTTTAATTAATTACAAATTAAGAAAATTAACAAATTAATTTGAATTTTTGATATTATGTGATTTTTTCTCATTATTTTACTTTTATTTTTTTATATAGGGAGAGGGAGTGAGAAGACTTGAAAAGTGAAAAGGGAGCTAGAGGGGGGTGCCATGTATTTTTTTTTTTAAATTATGAGAATTTAGGAATGAATTTTTGAAATTTTTTGAGATAATACTACATTTGCTTATATATATAGTATAGATTGCGTTTGTGGTACTAAGTGCCCATTTGAGAACCAAGATTAAAAGCTACGTTTTGTAGCTTGGGGGGTAAAAGGCTAGATTGGCTTTTTTAACAATAAGTCATTTGGGAAGTCCAAAAAAGTTGCATGTGAAATTACAATTATACACTTCATGTTGTCTAGGGTTGTACATGGGTGAAAATGTAAATTTACTAAATTGGGTAGGGATATTTTGGTCATTTGATTGTGATGTGACAATATAAACAAATACTAACCGAAAAAGCCAAAAGCAATTTTTTACGAACTTCCTAAATCACTTTCTAAAAAAGCCAAAAACTTGGTAAAAAATCAAGAGCCAGCTTTTTATCATCTTCCCAAAACACTCCTAAATTGGTAGTTTTCTATTTTAATGTTTAAAGATTTTTGCTTTAGTTGATTGGCAAGAGTATGTTATTTGAATTTGACCTTTTTCAATTTTTGTTAGGCCCACATTAGAGAGCTTGAAGAAGAAGTGAACCTTTTTGAGAATCTTTCACATCCAAACATTGTGGTAAGTATTTGATTTGCATTCTTCCTGAAGCAATGGTTGTTCATTTTTATTGTCTTGTCTGTCTATTTTTATATTTTTGGTTGGTTTTCTAACTTTACTCGGCTCTTCTTTTTCTTGAAGAGATACTTGGGAACAACTAGAGAGGACGCATCGTTGAATATTTTGTTAGAAATTGTCCCTGTTGGATCTATCTCTTCACTTCTGGGAAAATTTGGTTCATTTCCCGAGTTTGTAAGTTGATTACCACTTTTCAAATTATATATTTTTTGTTTTCGAGTATTGAAGTTTATATCAAATAACACTCTGTCGAGAGGCAAGGCCTGCTTATTGACTTAAAAATTTTCATTTTAGGATTTTTTTTTAATCAACAAAATAAGAAAACTTTATTGATAAAATCAAAACATTACATATGAAGACCATCAATAAAGAAAAGACAAGAGCTCGATAGCATCATAGCACCTCAACCTAATCCCAACTAGGTTGGCACCAAGAAGGATGCCCAATCTTGTGCTAGCTCAAGCCAAAATGTTGGTAAGAAACCAACAACAAACAGAAAAATCACCCCAAAACAAAAGAGTAACAAACAATCAAACAGACCCCACCTGTTAAAACTACCAAACAGCAGCCATCTATCCTACAGACAACAATCTCCACAGCCAAAAATTAGCCCAGAATTCTGATTCTGTTCCATTGCCTTGAGCAAGATCTTACTTGCTGAAGGTTGAACACCACATCATTAATAGAAAAATATATCCCATATGTGTTATATTTCAACCATAAAGCAATTCTAACCTTCAGTAACTCCTCAAAATCCGTAAAATCTGGTTGAATTGCATTGAACACACATTCATTTATGAGCTTCCACACAGACCACATGATAGCAAAAGGAATAGAATGTCATATCCTCCTTTCAAACTTGTTACAGCTTCTACCTAACCACCATTCCAGAAGATCTCCAATAGACCCAGGAATTACCCAAGACAAGTTCCACCAATCCAATAATTTAGACCACATTCTCCATACCAAAAGGCAATGTAGTAGGATTGTAATAACCCTCACGCTATCCTAACCATACTCGTATGCATTCATGTGATTCTTTCTTGTAAAGTTGCATTTCGAGTCTTGTCCTTGTTCGTTTAAGTGTTATAGCATGTTTTGTACCTTGCTTGGTGTGAGTTTAGCCGAGGTCGTCTTCATGTCTAGAATTATCTTGGAACCACTTTGTTCGACCTCCACCTTTGCCCTGACATATTGGCCGAGATGTCATTATCTAGGCCGAGGTGTTCATCACCAAGGCCGAGGTGTGAATCATCTAGGCCGAGATGTTACCTTTGCACCCAAGTGATCTTGTCCCGGAGTGGTATGACCTAGACCGAGGTGTGGCACATCTAGGCCAAGGTGTGGCACAGCTTAGTCAAGTGTTGTCCTTCCTAGCTGAGGTCATTGTTCCCTACTTGCCGATGTCTTGTTCTTAGCCGAGATCGTTACTCGCCAGAGTGCCCATGCCGTCTTGCTTGTTGAACACACTTTGTCATAGTTTTGTCTTGTCACTCAGCCACTTTTCTGTGTAGCACCAACCAGCCGCTGCCACGTGCCTCTCTAGAGGGTTAAGTCAGCCAGCAGACTTAGAAATGTATCATTTTCTATATGTCTTTGTTTGTGAGAAGAGAGAAGCTCTAGAAGAAGAAGAAGAAGTTTAGAGTGAGAGAGTGGGTTTCGAGCTTGATTCCTAGAGATCAAACCATTAGATTCGTATATTGAGGTTAGATACTTGATCTACTCTTGTCATTCTTATTGATCATCTAGTTACATTGCATAATCGAACCCGTTTTGCATGTCATGCATCGATTTAAAGTTGGTTTTAGAAAGAGAAAATGGTGTTCATGTGTTCTTGAAAGAAAGGTCTTGTTTTATCTGAAAGTTTGCATTAAGTTTCGTGTTTTTGTGTTTGTTCTCACTAGATTCTTGAATATGGGTACCCAAGTCCATGTTTTTGAACTCATAGCATGAAATCTCAGATTTTGTAATAGAAAATCACGATCCTTGCATTCATCTCCCTCATGTTCATGTTCTTCATGTTCATCATGTTCTTCAAGAAAGGGGAAACCCAGATTTTTCCCGACTTCATTCCTTTGAATGTGGCCATCGAGGCCACACCTCGGCCAGGGGATGTGGAACCTCGGCCTAGACCTGGTAGTTGCCCAGCATATTTTCCCGAGATCATCTGCATGCATGTGAAACTTGTTTGAAAGTACATTCAACAGACTTTGCCATGTGTTTGTAGGATTTGGACTTGCCTTGATCCCGACGTTTGAAGAACTAAGTGAGTGGTATTTTTAATAAAGCTATGTTATAATGCTTTGATAAAGTCTTGTTTTGCTTCGTTTTGGAAAGTATTTGTAAGCATGAATGGTTAGCCCTAATCGGAAAAAATATATACATATCTTGTTTTGATGACATTTTTGGAAAGTCCGTACGTGCTAAGGGACTATAAGCACTTGTAGCACAAAGTTTGGAAGTCCGTACGTGCTAAGGGACTATAGGCACTTGTAGCACAAAGTTTGGAAGTCCGTACGTGCTAAGGGACTATAGGCACTTGTAGCACAAAGTTTGGAAGTCCGTACGTGCTAAGGGACTATAGGCACTTGTAGCACAAAGTTTGGAAGTCCGTACGTGCTAAGGGACTATAGGCACTTGTAGCACAAAGTTTGGAAGTCCGTACGTGCTAAGGGACTATAGGCACTTGTAGCACAAAGTTTGGAAGTCCGTACGTGCTAAGGGACTATAGGCACTTGTAGCACAAAGTTTGGAAGTCCGTACGTGCTAAGGGACTATAGGCACTTGTAGCACAAAGTTTGGAAGTCCGTACGTGCTAAGGGACTATAGGCACTTGTAGCACAAAGTTTGGAAGTCCGTACGTGCTAAGGGACTATAGGCACTTGTAGCACAAAGTTTGGAAGTCCGTACGTGCTAAGGGATTAAACCTTTATTACTAATATCATTCACTAAGTATCCAAGCTCACCCTCCTCTTTATATATATGTAGGTGACGAGCAAGAAGGTCGTGACGCCTAAGATGCTATGTGCAAGATGTTTTGATTCATGTTTTGCATCATCTTGAAGATTATGCTTCTTAGTTTGTAAATGCTTGTAATTTACACATGTCGGCTGGAGAAGCCTTTTGATCAAGATGTAAACAAAAATGTATTTTGTACTTTTTGTATTTGTATCCAAGTTGTAATATTATGTAAAGTTGTATGCCATTCCATGTAACTTACGCACTGCTCTTATGGACCACTTGTATTTTTTTTTTAAATTATTGCTTCCGCACTTGTGAGCCCCATATATATTTATACTCTGTCTGTGTGTGAATTTTGAAAGATGGCCTTCGGTAATCTCGGATTACTGGCCATCACGGCACCAAACTACTAGGGGCTGTTTGGGATCGTGACAGATTGGTATCAGAGCATGCATTCCTTATAGTACGTTATTCACACACTTTGAGTCCTAAAGAGCATAGGATGTCCCTTAGAATGATCTTAGGATTACATCATATTGCTTGATACTTGACAAGGTGTGAATCATCTCGGCATAACCATTTGTTATTTGCACACATGGTTCTTGGTTCAGTTTGTTTTAAGGTTGCATTTTTTCTACTCATAGCATCATGAGGAGAGGTAGACCATCAGTTGGCCGAGATCAATCAGAGGATAGATTGGACAGACTAGAAAGACTAGTTGAAGGTTTAACCCGTGAATTGAGGCAGATGAGGCAACAGAATGCAAGTGCTACATCTACCCCGGCTGAACAGACGAATGGCTGACATGCAGCTCCACCTCTTCTAGTGCCCTAAGTGCCTCCACAGCCAGCCTTGTATGGGGAAGGGATGATGACTTTGATTAAAGAGTTCAAGAAGATGAACCCACCGAGATTCGCAGGGGGCATAGAGCCGATGAAGGCCGAGGCGTGGGTTTTGGAAATGGAAAAGTTGTTCGAGATCTTTCCCAGCACCGACACTCAGAAGGTGACATTAGCAGCATTCACATTAGATGACGATGCTCGAAGGTGGTAGATGATGATCCGGAAGGCTAATCCTGGTTTAACTTGGGCCAAATTTTTGGAACTGTTTTACAACAAGCATTTTTCGCTTAGCGTTCGAGATCGCAAGACCATAGAGTTCCAGACTCTGACACAAGGCAATAGAACAGTGGCAGAGTATGACCGTGCCTTTACCGAATCGGCGAGGTATGCGCCTCATATGGTCAGTGATGAGTATAGGAAAGCCAGGAAGTTTGAAAGTGGACTACGTGGACCAATTTAGGATTGGGTCAACATGCTCAATATGCCGACTTACGTCGAGGTGTTAGACAAGGCCATCTTGGCGGAAGCTAACTTAAATCGATATCAAAGTGCAGGAGAGAATCAGAGGAAGAGACAGAACAATGAAGGTCGTCGGATACTGTTTAATGCCAAGAAGAAGGCGAATGTGGGCAGTTCCAGCAACTCAGATCGGGATGGTAATGCTAAGCCGACGTGTGCGAGTTGTGGGAAGCCGCATCTCGGGGTTTGTCGCTGGGCGACAGGAGCCTGCTTTGAATGTGGCGAGATAGGTCACCGCGTGAAGGACTGTCCAAAGGCAAGAGCTGGTGATGGTAAGAAAAATGGGAGCACCTCGGGCTCTGCACAGGGAAGCAACGTCGGAAGGACACAGATGAGACAGAGCAGAGTTTTTGCTCTAGTGCCAGGAGACACCCAGAATGCTGAAACGGTAGTGTCAGGTACACTCTCAAGTACGTGCTAGGGGACTCTAAGCATTAATAGCACAAGTCCTTAGTGTCCGGGGACTATAATGCAACGACACCATCGAATTGAGATATCTCCCTTGTCTTGCCTTGTCTTGTACCGATATCAAAGTTCAGGAGAGAGTC